CTTGTGTCCCATCCCACCCCCTATAACATATGTAAGAACCACTGCGCTATCGTTACTGTGACTCGAGCTATGAATTTCCGGTCAAACACACACACACACACACACACACACACACACACACACACACACACACACACACACACACACACACACACACACACACACACACACACACACACACACACACACACACACACACACACACACACACACACACACACACACACACACACAACACACACCGCTAGCCGCTTATATATAGTAGGATCCTTACAGAAAAATATGAATACATAGAGTGTGGTTCTCAATTTACAAGTCTCCCTTCAGTTGAAAGAAGGTTTTTAACTTCCTGAGCCAAGCTGTGTGCTGACTGATCTTTGGCGTTGACCGTGGGGCAGCTTATCTACTATTGAAATTTGAACAAATATTCAAATGATTATAACTTTCTTCAAATATGACGAATTTTCAATCTGAAAGCAGATTTGGAAGTTTTGTAAAGAGCTCTTTCTAACCAGTATTGAAATCACAAAAATTTATAAGAAATAACAAATTTAGATCAAATAACGAGGCTCCCCCACTTTCTTCACGATTTGGGGCGCGGCCGCGGCGAGCGCGGACGAGTCGATAGTGCCCGCGAACTGTGGTGGTGATGCGTTTTCAAATTTACCCACACAGTTCGCGGGCACTATCGACTCGCGCCGCGCTCGTTGCCGCGGCCGCGCCCTGCGCCGCGGCAAATCGGTGAAGGGAAGGAGTGGGGCGCGGCAAAATAACGAGTGAAAATTCGGAGACGAGCGCGAGGTTTTTAGCACTTCGCGCAAGAGCTATAACGTGCTTGCATTTTCGTCCAATCGAAAACGTTAATACGGTCGACCAAAACTTAGAACATTTTCCGTCTATGCAACGTGCTAAGCAGCTTTATATGTCCACTATTTAAAATGGCCACGTTGAGGATTTTTGCAAAATTAACGAGGAAAATTTGCGATGAGTGCGAGTTTTTACGCTTTCCAAAGCCATAACTCCGTTCAAACTCATCCAATCTGAAAAGTTAATACGTCATCATAAACTAGAAGATTTGCTCTATTCAAATTACTAGAACTGCTAAATACGTCCACTATTTAAAAAATGGCCACGTTGAGGATTTTTGCCCGAGTACCGCCGAAAGGTACTTTTTCGCTGCATTGGCACTATTTCAACGACTATAGCTCCTTCCTTTCAGGGGCGATTACATACTAAAGTAGGAGCAGATTCGAAATCCTCGTGCTTTTCTCTTTCAAAAAGTGTAAAATTGTTTAGCGTTCTCAACTTTAAAGGTTACATGCTTGTGAATTTGACGCTGAAGGCTGCGTTTCTTGTTGAATGGTGTACTCCTCCCTGTAATTTCACATGAACCCTTTCAGAATCCTCTTGATTTTTCCTGAATTGAGATTCTTTCTCCAGAGAGCCGTAGCTGAAGCGCGCGCAACCAACTGGGCCCACTCTGGGATGCGCCGTGTGCTTCACATCCCTTCAGATTTGAGGACTCACTTGAAAGATAAAATATCCCTTGGAAAACGTGCGAATTTCGGATTCTTTAACTTGTGTGGTGATAAAACACTGAAGTAACTAAGAATTGCTAAGCGGACACCTCTAAATCACGAAGATTTTGTGTGGACGGAATCAATTGTTATTGGAAATACTCTGGCCTGGCATCGATTCGATCCTTGATGTTTGTCCTCCGACGATGATCCTACTGTATCAATCGGGCCCGATCTCTTCCCCCAGCGGGCCAATACGACCCCCCCCCCTGTGACATGTCGAGGATTCCTCAACGCACGCTTGACCCTGCTTCTGCTTTCTAGCGGTTTCAGACGATACAGATCTAGTCTTTTCAGTGACATATCCTACTCTGTCAATACGATTCTTTTCGGGGTCGCCCTATCCTCCGACGTCGCCAAGTATGAACGCGGTGGCTCAAACACGATGCCCACTAGTACTTGCTATTTTCTGCTTTCTGTTGTTCTCGGATCGAAGTCTTACTTACTTCTTACTCCTTTCCCGGGCACGCCAGAAACGCAGGTCGCACATCTTCCAGGCCGCTCTGCTTCGGGCTCTTCTGCGCCACAACTGGCCGTACAATTTTACGAGAGGGTCTGCCCATCGGGTGGGGGGTCTGCCTCTGGGCCTTGTTTTTCCCCTTGGGTACCAGTCAGTCACTCTCTTCGTCCAGCGATCATCGGTGAAGTCTAGCCACATGACCGGCCCACCTCCGCTTGGAATTATAGATGGCATCGACGACGTCCTTCACCATCGTACGAGCGCGGATGGTGTCATTGGGTATGCGGTCTCGGAGCGTTACCCCGCACATGGCCCTCTCCATGGCTCGCTGAGTGACTGCGAGTTTCTCCTCTTCAGAGACTGTGGTGCTCCACGTCTCCGCCCCGTAGTCATCGCGGGAAGAACATGCGAGTTGAAGACGTGAGCCTTGACTTTCGGGTCTGCGTGTTTAGAAGTTAGTATAATACATAAAGGATAAGGATAAAGCATTTGCCGTTGATCAATCCCTTTTTGGGATGCGGCACGCATTCTACTTCCATTTGTACATTCGTAGTGGCGTTTGAATGCGATGTGGCCTATACAATGACTTGCGGGGGCCAGCCGATGTACAAGTCAGTGTTTTTATCCTCCCAGACAAGTCTGGTACCAATTAACCGACCCCGGAGGGATGGAAGGCTTGGTTGGCCCGGGCGACTCACGACCCAGGATTTGATCCCCGGACCGCTCGCGTGGTAAGCGTGCCACTTGCCACTACACCACTTCCGCCCAGCCTAATGCACACATGTACCAAATCGAAGTCTGTCCTCTATTATTCCTCTCGGCGCAATGTAGCTGGGGGGAGGGGGGAGGGGGGGGACAGCATTAAGATCGCGTCAAGGTATACGGGAAGCTCAGTTTCCGTAATCTCAACGCGAGGGAGGGGATCTTTCAGACGACTAATGGTAAGCCTCTGAAAGGAGAGGGACTCCGGTGCGCGGAAACAATTTTCGTATTGTTTGGAGTCCCCACTGCTTGGCCCTGGAGGCCTTTCCACAGAATGTCACCCCTCTGAGCCCCATTGTGCCTTCCTCATCTTTCTCTCCAGATTGGTCTGTTTACGGGTCAATAATAATTAAAGGTATCAGCTCAATTTCTGGATTTTGATTCTTTTTTTTTGCTTTTTTTCCGCGAGAGAAGGGTTGACGCGTCAGTTCTGAAATATGGACACAACAATTTGCCTCTGCCAGGACTCGAACCCGGGTTCGGGTCGGAGTCTCAGCTAAAGCGTGTCATGGTCATAGGTCAGCACTCTTGGGAAAAGGTTTTTCACCGAATATTCAACTAAGATGGAAGCATTCGGGTGTACGTTTACTATACTAACATAAGAAACTTTCCCATTCGTTCCCATTAGATTTATTGCGACGCGTGTTCTCTCATTAGATTGTTAGTTGCGAACGCTCCTTGAAGTGTTAGCGAGAGTACCAGATCAAGCTACGTCTCGACCTCCCGTGCGATTGTAAAAAAGATCTTCACTCTGTGGAGACCCCAAATGCTCTGCATGTCGTTCCTACTCAAAGCATGAAAATTTATCGTGAGCTCTACAGCAACTTGATGACCAGAATTTCACCATTCTACAAGGAGACCACGTCGACATGAAGAGAAGGCGTCGACACGGCGACGCCGTCTCGCTCAACTTTCCGCTCTCGAGAACGTCATGCTTCAACTGGTCGATGACATGTGGTGAAGATCAGCTAACCGGGCAAATAGCATCCCATCTCTGCTTCGCTTGCAATTTCGTGCTCATAACATCGAGCAAGCAGAGCGAACGGCTCGTTCTCCTAGCGTGGAAGTCGGTTTGCAGGCGATTTAACGAGAACGATGTTAATGTTAAACGAACTGGTTCCTGATGCTCATTCTTGCTCAGCAGAATGAACACCTCCGAATTATCTAACAACGTGTACACCTGGTCGGTAAATCAGCGCAATGAACGAGTTCTGGAACTGAAGAAGCTCTCTTCAGTACTCTGGAATGCGATGGGGACAAATGGAAATGTTACCGGCGCCTCACAAGGAACTTAAAGGACGAATTCACGATTAGAATGAAGGTCGAAGAAGGAGTAATTCACCTAGTTGAGGGACCCGCGGACCTCCTGAGGGTGCGGACTGAAGCGCAATTGGCACCGAAGGAGTTGACCTCGGCGACCTATTAAGGCTCAATCTTGGCGCGGTGGGCCAGTGCACGCCCACCGATCATCTGATCACTCGCCGCAGGTCTATACGATTAGATAGGTGAGAGAGCGTAGTGTTGAAGAGGGCACAGCGATGAGAGTCGCATCAATGCTCAAATCAACGGGCAAGGAAGGGGTCCCATTTCTCGGGTTCTGGGCCGTTTCTCATGGTTCTTCCTTCTTTCGTGTACCACTCACCATCCTAGGTTAATTTGAAATGGGTTGCTTTTTCAGCGTGAATTCGTCCTTTAATGCACAAGGGAATGGAAAGCGATATAGACGACACTATTAATCGGTAGGTTTTAAAGTTACTGGATGTTGGACTTCTACAGAATTGTCGACTTCTTCTTGAAATAATGAGCAGCACCGGGAAGGGGGACGTGGTAAAGTCAAGGTGTCTTGCTGTAGCCCTATGGGATAATAACCTAGTCGCTTGTGAAGACCGCCCTCTTTCTTTCTAACCGAAAACTACATGCACTGCAAAATCAGAAAAAAATGTGGGCCCCGTCTTTCACACCCGGACTGAAAATCTCCGCAGAAAAAACAAGAGGATTTTTGAGAAGGAATGAACGCAAAAGACAAACTAACTGCAAACGGAAAACAAACACATGATTTATCCTGTTGCTATCGAAAACAAAAACAATAAATAGTAATAGCTAAGCCCGTCTAGAATTATCTAGGCAGCGTAACAGGCTACAAGAACACTTTACAAGGTCATCATATGAGAAGAGTAAGTACTATTAGCAGCTGACGCTTACTACTGAGCTTTAGCTTTCTTTCTGAGGGCAGCTTTTCGAAGTGACATACTGAAGTTAGTGATGATCTTGTTTAATATTACAGGAGGAGCAAGTTTGGAAGCTTCCGCCTGAAAATATAAGAAACTAGTGGTTGACAGATGTAAATAACTGATTCATTTTTTCGTACCTGAAGTTGGTGAGACAGACAACCCGTAGTATCATCAATAAGTCCGATGCTCCTAACTGCAGACCTTGCAAACACTTCGCCATTAGGTACAAAGAAGGATGTTCTACGGACCTTCAACGCTCGAATAAATTAATGAGCAATAACGAAATAAGCAAAATAATATGCACAGAAGCATTCCGACTACCTTGCTCATTTTAGTCGCCACCGTCATGGGACAAACTGTCTGGACAGTTATCCCCTTACTGGCGTACTCCATTCGCAGAATCTCCGACAACCACGACACATACTTCTGAAGCAGAAAACGGCTGCTTAGAAAACTGCATGACTGGAGTATAAAAACCGTTAAGCCCACTTGCCTTGGTCGCAGAATAAACAGCCCAGAGAGCCATCGGGTTGTAGCTGGCAAAGGATGACACATTAACGATGATACCTTTCTTACGCGGTGTCATCTGCTTCAGAACATGAGCAGATAGCTGAAACGACCCACAAAGTGATAGCTGTTGTTGATGTGATGAAACATAGAAACATAGCTCATGAATATAGTCTCGCGATACCAGGCTTTAAAGATTAAATTAAAATAGAACATACAATAGTCACAGGTAGTGTGTTAATCGTTGTAATGCCTCCAATGCGTTGAAGACCTCCCTCAATCTCATGAAGAACCTAAAAGGTTTTTTAAGCAAAAAGACTGTTCAAGCCACAGAAAAACTTATTGAAAAACAATTAGACAAAAGTCGAAGTACCTCTGGATATTCGAAGCTCATGCCAACGTTGTTAACAAGAACTCCTACATCAACCTTATCAAGAGCTTCAAGAAGGGGTTTGTACTCATCCACAGTACCAACAGAAAAATCGAATGCGAATGTTTTGACGCTAATCTAAACAAGACAGATATAATATGACACCTTCCCTTACAAAACAACTATTCAGGAATCGCGATCATCAATATGGGATTAGCCACTACCTGGTTATATTTTTGGCTGAGATCCTTTTCTACTTCATCGAGCTTGGACTGTGTTCGAGATACGAGGTATATGTTAAAGCCTTTTCTGGCCAACTCGTATGCGTATGCCTTTCCGATGCCATCCGTTGCACCCGTCACTACTGTAATTTTTGTATGATTTCTATAGAATAATAATGTGGAGAATTTTCAGTATAATAACTCAGTTTTCTTCACCATGAACGAGTTTGCATAATTTTTAATCTGGAACACCAGCCTCACACCTTTTATACTATAGACACAACAAAATTCACCTTTTGTTAAAAGTGTGTCTGCCAGTGTCATTGCTTCTCTTTCTCGGGGAAGGGGGGGGGGGAAGTCCCCAATATTCTTGATACTTTATGGAAGGGAGGGCATCCCGTACTGCTGTGCATCTCAACTCTAAGAACGAGGACAAAAAGATCGGACATGCAGTCTACTTATTTGAAGTACACTTTTCAATAAGACCGCCTTGAATGGTGTAAAAATATAATCTCAAGCAAACGGAGAAACATTTTTGCCCACACCCAGTATGGGTAGGGGTAGCTATGCAGGGTGTGTGAAAATGATTAGGAGCAAAAAAAGTCGGATACGATGTGCAGGATAGGAAGCAGGGCACAATTGTCCTTATCTAAAAGATTGTTTCGAACAGTCTACCAAACCTCTTATCCTTAGTGTTTGAGATAACCTAGCTTTAAAGACGCAGACCACAATGGAGGGCCCCTCTTCCTTTCTTCACGTATGAAGAGCTTTTCAGGATTTGTTCTTCCCACTGGTTGTTCTTAGGTTGTCGAGAAAGCCTGCGCATTTATTTCTATATGGTGCAAAATCTTTGGGGATCGTTTTGAAACATTCTCGGTAGAAAGTTTGTGGACGAAGTTCAATGCTCTTTTCGAGGAACCTCTGCTGTAACACTACGCAGCGATTATGAGGAACATTTTGAACACCCTGTTGCGACCAGAACGCCCGCCACTAACATAATTTCACTAGCTATCGAATCAGCAGGAAGGAGGGGTGGTCCGATGATCTAGGCCTAGTCGGAGACAGAAATACCTGCTGCGAGGCAATATGTCGACGATAATGGTTGGGCTCGTAATTGTTAATTGTTGACTGTGCTGGGAAGGACAAACCTTCTTCTCAGCGTTGCTCCCGCGCTTTCGTAGGGGGTCCGCTGTGTGCCAAGAAAGAATTGTATATTTGAAAAGTGACAAGTGTGCGAAAACTTATAATAACCTAATAAATTTCTGCCCCACACTTCTTCAAAAGTCACGAAGTTTATTCAAATTCAATTCCAGATTTTTTTTGGTGGTAGAGAAACCCCACTTCTGGTTATTATGATAGTGGATATCTCGAGCAGTAGTAGTGCATCTAAGCGGCCGTATTACACTTTACAGTGCGAATTGGTACAGTCCTTACTTTTGAAGAGGTGTTACATAATCAGAATAACAACATTCGGGCTTCGAGCACGTGATTAGTTCAATGTTCATCAATGTCTTGTATCATTGCGCGCAACGTTTCACAAGGATCCGGTCAGGCGTCAAAGTACAGCTGCTTTTTGCAGAGCAAGTCACGGTAAATGTTAATGATGCACGTTCCAACCGGTACACGAATCTTTGTTTCACAGTCCAAAACAGAGCAAAGGTAATGAATGATGAATGGTTCGCGAAGAAGGCGCATTACAGTGGTTGGTTGTCATATGTAACTCCGTTAGCTTCAACGTTCAAACTTTTTGGAGCTATGCAATTCCAATATCCTTTTGGTGCTACTGGACATGTGACAGTAAACAACACTTTAGATTTAAATAGAGTAGAAAAGTAACTGTGAGATCGGACCTGCCCATTTGGCTCCTGCCATCGAATGTAGATCTACCGGCGTACCGATCAAGTAGGGATAAACAACATTATAAACAGCAACGACGATCTTGTAAGCAACAACAGCTAAAACACAGTATCCTGCACTGACCACAAGGCAGTCGCACACCATATTACCTAAATGATGCGCAATGCATAAGATTTTCCATTGTTGAACAAGCGATCCGCTTATATTAACCGGACACGTAAGGAAAGCTGATTGCTTAAGGTTGAATAGCTACAGTACTTAATGACAAAACCTCAAAAAACGTGGGAAGGGCTATTTCTAAACAGTTTATTTGTC